GTGTGTCTGTATTAACCCCTCTCTCTCAGTGCAGTGTTAATGTACTGGAGTGTCCAGTCAGTGTGTCTGTATTAACCCCTCTCTCTCTCTCAGTCCCATGCCCACCTATCGCGTTGACGCCGATAAGGGGTTTAATTTCTCGGTGGCCGATGACTCCTTTGTCTGCCAGAAGAAGAACCACTTCCAGGTCACAGTGTACGTCGGCATGCTGGGAGACCCCAAATACGTCAAGACCAGCGAAGGGCTGCAGCCAATAGACTGTTTCTACCTCAAACTGAACGGAGTGAAGGTGAGAGGGAGATAGAGGCACACCGCCCACTGCTGGCTTGAAAACAAACAGACACATCGATGTACTCGCTGACTGACTTCATGTGTCGCTGTGTTGCAGCTTGAAGCCATGAACCAGTGTATCAACATCGAGCAGTCCCAGTCAGACCGCAGCAAGAGACCCTTCAAGCCCGTCCTGTGAGTGAGCGGGCCTGGGCGCCCCGGGGCAGATGGGCAGGAGAGCGAGAGAGTGGGGCAGGACGGAGGGGCAGTCAGGGAGGGCAGGGACAGAGACCCAGAGGAGCGCGTGTGAACAGGGGGAGAACTTGCGTCAGAGTCGTCTCCGGGCTCAAATGCCTGTCTGGCGCTGAGGGGCCAGAAGGACAAAGCTCCTTACAGAGATGACGACAAGGGGAGCTGACTCAAGTGTTTAAAATCCTCAGCGTCGCTGAAAGACTCAAACCTCAGCACTTCTCCACAGTCCACAGTGAGCCAGAGCACGCGGGTGGAAACTGTGTGGAAATGCATGTAAAAATTAGAACTGAGGGCAATTCTTTACACTCGAGGTGGTGGGGGCGTGGAACAAGCCACCCAGCTGTGTTGTGAAAGCTGATGCTAAGGCTTCTTTCAGCAACCAGCAGTCTCCCGAGGCAGATGGGGGACAGTGAGGGAGAGTGAGGCAGAGGGGGGACAGTGAGAGAGAGTGAGGCAGACGAGGACAGTGAGAGAGAGTGAGGCAGAGGGGGGACAGTGAGGGAGAGTGAGGCAGACGAGGACAGTGAG